GCTGAAGCTTCACAACCTTTCTAAGCAGCCTGGGCATATTCAGGCAGCTGCCATCAAACTGCAGAGAAGCACTCTGGGACTTTAATTCAGCCTGGAGGCTTACACACAGGAGAGAAACATCCAGGGACCTCAGATTCTGACCAAAGGCTGACCCATGACTCTGCAAGCAGGGAAGTCCCTTTTCCTCTCCTATGGCACTGTGGAGGTAACAGAATATTATGTGGAAGGGAGTAGTTCTGGAAATCAGGATTCAACAAGAAACCACCACAAGACACTAGAGCAAAAGTTATCTATTTTATTACAAAACCAAAATGAAACAGATGCCTTTCAGTCTAACAAACAATGCCATAGGCAGAAATGTGCTGGGGCAGGGTAAATTCAACATAAACTCAGGCCATGGAAAGCGGTGCCCTCACACTGACAAATCCCACCACAATGCAGTTCCCTCCAACACACTATGCCTTTAGAGGATCAGCACAAAAGGAAAGATTCTTGCTTCTGGCAGGAAGAGCAGATGACTTGTGCTGTGGAGCCCTGGTTCTCTTCTCTGTCCCAGCTGTTTTCAGCTGTCATTCAAAGTAGAGCTGGAGAGGCCCAGGAGGTCTTGAAGGATGAGGAGAGACAGGATCTGCTTCCAGGCACAACGCCAACGCTCCCCACACCCCAGCTCCAGCAGGATGCTACTGATGCAAGGCAGAGCAGAAGAATGCTTACCGCCACCAGGCAAGGACATGTTTGGCCTGGCAGCCAGGTGGACTGGCCAGTTATCTGGCAATAAAAGCAACAAGGGAAGAGGGGAGCTGAGGCACTGCTCTCTTCTGATGAGCACAGGCTGTTTGAACAACTCATTAGGACGGGTTATATGAATCAGGACCAGTCCTGTCTGCATGACCTTCCAACACAGAAACCCAGAACAAGAAATCTAAGTTCTATCTGGACCTTACACAACCATGCTGGTTGGGTCCTGCATGTCAATGTACAGGTGTTGCCAGAAGCTGCTCAGAGGCCTGTGCAAACCCAGCAAGCCAGGATGTGGGGGCTCAGACTTGTCTCGTGAAAGCAAAGGGGTCCAAGCATTATATTGCTTTCCCCAATCCATCCACAAAGTCAGCTCTAGCACAGCAACATGAAGACCCACCAATAACAAAGCTACTATCAACAGCCACCCCTTGTTCGGCTTCCTTGAAGAACGGACCCAACTTTAATTGCAAACTACATATGAATGCAGGCATTTTGGAGGGGAAAGATACAAGGATGAGAAAAAAAGTCTGCAGGAGGATTTATGTGACAGGCAGGAGCATTGGCTGGCTGGTATACTGACATTTCCAGAAAAGATGTAGTGACCTTTAGCAGCTCTGCACTCCCTGCCCCGAGTCCTGTGGGGCACTGCCAGGCCCCAGTGACTGGCTGACAAAACTCCTATAGGCATCCAATTGGCTGCTTTTGCCGGATGCAACTATACATTAAAAAAAAAATCAAAAACCACACCAAACCAAAACCAAACACTAACCCAGCAGCCAAAGCTTTTAATTCCTAAAACTAGCGTATTAAAAAAAGAGGGTTTTTTTTTTTATACAGTTGGGTTCATTCTTTACTCCTACAATAGGATTAATGAGTGGCAGGGACATTTCTAACTATACACTAAACCAAATCATTTCAACACACAAAAGATATGCCCTGGGCATTTAAAAAGCGAAGATGCAATCAAGAAGATGGGAGCTTGCAGGCCAAAATAGCACATACATTGTATGTGAGAAACCAGGAAGATCCAGCAGCAGGATCTGCTCTTGCTAAAGAGACGACTTTGTATTATGGTGGTGTGATGTATACTTCAGGGATTACCAGAGGTGCTTTCAACCAGCCAAATGCTTTAATTAGCTCCAATCTACTTCCCAGAGGAAGAGTTATTACTACTCTTAAACAGTTATTTATAGAAAGCTGTTTTGCTTTGCTTGTTTCTTTTTTTAAGCTTTCCATTTTGTCAACAAGGCACTAACTTACTGCATCAGGACACTCTTGCTGTGATGTGTTTATCTCATGCTATCATCATGATGACATGCCACAGAGCGAAGATGCCGTGTTGCAACATCTTTTACCAAAGCAACAAAGCCTCAAGGGACAAGCCCAGCCTCTACAGTAACACAATGATGCTACAAGTAATTGTTGGTGTGACCTCATATTAGCACGGCATGTCATCATCTCCAACTACAGGTTCTTGGTCGAGAGAAGAGTGGCACAAGGATCACCAGGTCTAAAGTGGGAGGCTGCTCAGAACATTTCCTATAAACAGGCAAGTGCTGTCAGTGGTTGGAAACGCACAAAGCAAAACACTGTGTCGCCCACCATGCTCTGCCCAGAACCTATGATTGCTGATACAGGTGTCTCTGCCCCACTGCTGACTACAATTGTCTCTGAGATTAAGAGAGAAACAACTTTGGAAAAACTGCTTGTAGTTGAAACAGCCCATGGCCTTCAAGACCACCAGGCTCAATCCAAGCCTTGTAATGCGACACTGGAGTGTGATGAACACAGCAGGGACGGGTAACAGCGAATCAGGTGAAGTGGATACTCTAAACTAGGCAGAAGAGGAGCTTGGGATTCACAACCACCAAAGACAAGAATAGTCATTGCAGACAGACCTTCACCAGTGAGCATGGCCCAAGCTGTAGTGTTGAACATAAGTAAATGAGACTCTTGGGGACCAGCAGCATGACTGTCTTTCTGCATTGACAAAAATGTTCTTTGCTCTTCAGCAAAGCAACAGGCAGGCTAATGCTGCTTTTAGCAGGCTTCTCAATATTTTTCTTGTTGTACAACGTACAGATGAACACTTTGTCAAGAGAGGAAGATGCAAGACTTCACTCTGCTGACCCTACTAGGCTCCCACGTCCTTCCTACATCATTAGATTCCCAAGGCATGGCACATCTTTGCTAAGCATGTCTTCTGAGCCTGGAGAGTAATGCATTTGCAATTCATTTCTGCCCAACTTGCAACAGGTGCAGAAACTACTTTTGCATGTCCGTAATATAACCCTTTTCTATCCCTACTTTAAGCGGCTTTGCAGTGCACTCATTCTTCAGTGAAATCTGTGCTCTCCCAAAAACCCAGTTGCCTGGGAGTTGCACAGGGCTTTACAGTAAGAAAAGAAGGGGTTCAGCTGCTCCCAAGAAGCATTTGGTACCCGGGGCACTCTACGCACATCTGCAAGCACAAGTCATGCTGATATACTTGCTCCTTTTTCCATGGGGGTGTTAAGGTTTGCAAACTGAATGACAGGTTGGTGGCAGAAATGAATGCATTACTGTAACCCATGAAATGCAAAGTGTCCCTCTAACCCTAACAGCCTTCAAAAGAAAGGGAGGAACAGAACAGCGACTCCATCCCCTGTACAAGACAACTGTACAATTTACATATATATTTATATACAGTATATAAAATTCTCTTTGAGTCCCAGTGAACTCAATCTTACATCATCAGTAGCTGTTCCAATTTTTAAAAGTCATGATCCTGCTTCCCCCCACTCTCCAAAGTATTAGATAATGGCATTGAAAAGCAATTAAAAACAAACCCAAACCCAAACCAATCATTAAAAAGTGCAAACGTTCTGGGTGCCACTTCTGCTACGCTGGATGTTGCTGATGCTGCATGCTTGCTCACTAGCAGCAAAGTGTCCGTCTGTCGCTGGATCTTTGTTTCCTTTGGGTCGGCTCCTGCCTTCCCTTCCTGTCTTCTGCTGCTACACCAGGCGACCTACTGAAACGGTGGGTGGGGAAGGAGGAAAAAAACCACACAAAACAGAAGCAGGGAAGTGAGGAAATAAAGGCAAATTAAAACCAAAAGGGCACCTGCCTGATAAAGATACAGTACAGCCTCTGCTGCAGCCATGGCCCCAGAGGGCTGAGATCCCAGAGTAAGCTGTGAGGCTGAAAACAACCAGGGGCTAATGAGACAGCCTTGCTGAAAAAAAGCATTGGATGAGTCACATGGAGCCCTAGGGACTGATGTATTTTTAAACATAAACCACCACTTTCCTCTCCCTCCCCCTCCTTGGAAATGGGCATGCAGTCTGGGGAAACAACTGGTCCGACATGTCTCCCTCTGCTCTTCCGCCTGCCACGGCTGATGCAGATGCCCGCTGTTGCCAGGCTGCCCTGCTGCCAGCTGCCTCCTCCCCTAGCAGGCAAGCAGGCCTCGAAGGAGGCAGGCATGCAGGGCAAGGGCAAGCCACCTCTCCCCACCTCTGTGACAGCACAATGCAGCCGTCTCCTTGCTCGATGGTTCTCAGAGGCCTGCCTGCACCAGGCACTCTGAAGCCTACCAAGCTACTGAATCCGCAGTGGAGTTACAGCACCCTTGGTGCTAAGGGGTCCCAGGACCCTGCTGAGCTATTAGCATCCCACTGGATGGTGAGAGGATGCTGCCTGGTGTTTCAGACAGATGCGCACACACCCACACTCGTTTCTTCAGAAAGCTTTTGCTAAGCCCCTCATCAAAGGTTTTTAAAGAATCAAAGCTCTTATGGGATCAGAGCAAGAGCTCTGCGGATTAATTGCAGGTGAAAATGTGCTGAAGAGAAGGCAGAAGTATGGATTTGGTTTTCGGAAAGGAGAAAGGTTACCAGATAGGCCTCACTGGGATCAGTGCTAATCGACATGCCCTGCCACTGGAGGTGAATGCTGTCAAACGCAAAAGTATTCCAGACAGTCATATCTGAAATTGACAGCACAGCTCTGCAAAAGGCGCTCACAGTGCTCGATGACCAGCTCAAAAACAGTGGATTGCCTTCAATGTCTATATGTGCAATGCAGGGCGTGAGCAGGGATGACCTGTCCTACACTGAGCACTCTGAGTGACTAGGAAAGGCTGAAGCCATGGTACGCAATTATTTCAATGCCCCCGCTCAGCTTTTAGCAGCAGACAAAAATCAAGTAAATGCTCAGAACTGAGGACACACCAGGAAATATCACTACATCAATGTATAAGGCTTAGCTGATCTTCATCTTCAGGTCTCTAAAGCTTAGCTCATCTCTCATCTTCATGTTCAGCCCATCTCACCAGGACCAGATAAGGTACCCAGAAAGGATAGCAAGAGGTATGGGAAGACTTCTGTCATTAAGCAAATACACAGCCTAGCTCTTTTCCACACAGAGTCTAACCAGACATATGTTGGAGGGCTACAGAACAACAAGCAGCAGCAGAAAGACAAGGAGGGGAGAACTGCTCACTGTTTCTCACAATCCAAAATGAGAAGCATCCAATGAAACCATGAGGCAGCAGGACTGAAAGCAAAACAAACAAAAGTTCTTCATGCCTGATGAAAGAGTCTGATTCACTGCCACAACATACAGATGAGAGTAGACCTTCACTGGGACAGAGAAGAGTCTCCATGGGAACTATTCCATGGAGTATTGTAATATAAACACAAAAATCACCTAAATCATCGCTTGCTAGAAGCAGGGAGAATAGCGTAGGAGTCTTCACCCTATAGCTGCTGTACCCTATTCTAATTCCTTAGCAATGGACTGTCTGCCCCAGCTGAAGACCCAGTGCTGGACTTTGAGATGATGCAGTGGACTGCATGTTATTATATTCACACCTCTTTGAACAACTTTGATTTCCAGTTGTTTCTATATTGCTATTTGTGGACACAGGAGAGCAGAGGAGTATGAATTTTGGGACATGTGGTTATCACAGGAAAAAAAGGAAACATTTTGACAAGATACTCACTGAAAGGGTTAAGGCCTTGTCTTTTTCCATTGGGGAAACTGCTCAGGCTACCTGTAAAATCCAAGAACCACATTAAAGGCATAAATGCCATGGCGTGACAAAGGAGCCTCCCCACTGTCTGCTGCTGGAGGGCAGGTTCAAAGGAGCTCCTCTGAGCATGCACACAGCAAGTCCTGCCAGCACTCCTTAAGATTCACATGCAAGAGTCAGCCTAATGTGCTCGAGATGAGAGATGTTAAATACCTGGCAGTGTAGTAGCTGAACGTCATGAAATCCAGAGGTTTGGTGTGGGCAAGAAGCAACAATTACAAGGTTAAAATAAACTGTGGAAGGGGGAAGGAGAAGAAAGGAAGGAGGGCAAGTAGTGCCATGGTTTCCCAAAACAGTTTTTCCTAACAGCAAGCGCAATAATGTAACATAGAAAGAAGGCAGACAGAAAAGAGTGAAGGTGTAGGCAATACAGATAGCCCAAGTTTACAAAATCTTTAGCTTGGACCAAACAACCAAACAGGTGCCTAAAAATCAAAGACCTGAACTCATACACGGCAGAAGGGCAGGGACAGCCTGCAGAGCTGTGACTGCACCATGAGATAGAGGCACATGCACCCTACACCAGATGAAGCTCACGACAAGGGCGCTCACCTCAACAATAAACCTGTTCCTACCATGCACTAGCTACAGACAGCTTAGGGATTACAGGAGCTCTCGACAGCATGTCACATTTCCTGCTAGCTGCTCGGTCTGATTTCAGATGTGGGATTAGCTGGAAATGGGAACTCCTGCTCCCAGACAGAAGCAGTAAGCCTGTTGCCACCCTCCACTCCAGCCCAGCCTAAGACTTATCTTTGATTTGTGCATGCACCTGACCTGGTTGCACAGCTTCCTTTGCACATTAAATACTTTGCACTCTCGCAGCTAAAGCATGCTTTGCTCTGTGCAAAAGCAAGACAAGCAGAAGCTCAGAGAGCATGGCTGAGACTGGGGAGGACCCGGGTGACAGGAGGCTGAGCTGTAGGACAGAAGCAGAACTGCTGGGAAGGAAGAGAGGGGTAAAGAAAGGTGGCGGTGGCTGAGTTTGAAATGGGTTGCAAAGCACAACCTGTTTGCTTTAGAGTTCATTAATAAGAGAAACTGTATAAACACAGTAAGTTATCTCAAGGCCCCCGAAGGCCAGCCACATATCAGCCATCTGCCCTGGTGAGATTAGAGGAGCCATTTTTCTCTTATTTCTGCGCCCGTGCGTAAACAGCAGAGCTCTGCTGCCAAGAGGCAGATCCCTTCAGAGCTAATTGGGACTCTCCTGGGGGGCTAGCAATAAAAACCCAGCACCTTTACAAGCTGGGCACCCGCCAGCTGCCTGGGTAAGTAAGAAGGCATTGGTGAAAAATCCCTCTTTTGTAGCCAGCACAGCTAAGCCTGCAGTGCACTGTTGTGAATGAGACCTGTTTGTCTTCAGAAAGAGGTGGGGAGCTCCAGGTGAGCTGATACAAAAGGCAGGGAGCGTCCCTGAAAGGGCAGGGATGCTCAGGCACCCCTTTTCGGCAGCCTGGTAGGGCTCTGTGCTTTCCATGGGGATGGCCCCATGCATCCCTGCTGGGAAAGCACCCTGAAGCTCATCATCTGTCACTCCAAAGGCAGAAAGTATCGCCTTCAGTATAAACACAGGCCGGCCTCATATACCCACAGAAGGCAAAACCCCACCAGAACACCACACTGAGCTCAAAGTTGACGTGAAAGGGAGGAAGGAATATGGCAGGCGGCGACAGCGGCTTACTAACACATACCTGGAAAGCCCTTGGGTATTATAGGGTAACATCCCATCATTCAGTTAAGTTTCATAATGCAGAGTATTTGCTCAGCCTCGCAAGTACACTATTTGGGGTAACAATTCTAGCCACACTGGATTAGGCCAGGTGTTTTTCAAAAGGAAAAGCCCCAAGGAAACCCCAGCAGCTTTTTACAGGTAAAAATGATTTCTCAGGCTTACCGAGCAAATCTCTCACCTTTGATGAGGGAGGAACATGCTACCACAAGCCTTATCTTGTGTCCTCAATGCAATACTGATGCCCTAATTCATACTAACCATCAATAACTTTCCTCAAGATTAAAGGCAACGAACTACAGCACCCCTACTGAGCTCCAAAGGGGCATATCTGACCAAGGCAACCAAAAAACAAGAACTGAACCAGTGGAGCTTGTTTACATTCTAGTCTATTTGTAATTAGATGTACTCTGAATTTCCTTTTCATTAATGCAGTCATTACCTGGTTACCGTTTTCTCATAGCCTCTCAGACTGTTGTCAGCTTTCTACCATCATTGGTCCAGAGGCCTTTCCCAGCTGACTGCTGCTTGCTACGTGCTCCCACACAGCTGCTTGCACAGCAGTGATACAGAGCATCCTCATTCCAAGAAGCTTCCCAAGTATGCAGAGAATCAGTTACTTCTGCAGATACCCAAACACCATTGAGTTAAATCTGCTGGTTAGATTGTCCATTATTTTTCCTTCTTTTTGTAGTATTTGCCCAGCTCCAGTAGAAACTGACATGCTGTTTAATTACACACACGCACACACTTTTTAATTAAGACATTTTGATCCTGTTTCTGGACTGTGCTCTTGGCATAGACAGTGGCTGGGTTCCACCCCAGAAGTCCTCATGGCCTGTGAAGTGCACCCAACACCTACCATCTGACAAGCTCTTGGATGGCAAAGCAATCACAGGATCCGAACTGGCAGAAGGAAACTTCCTGTCAGCTGGCAGAGGGACATTTCTTCGCTGCTTAATCCCTTAGCTCCTCTTTAGGCAGGCACAAAATGCTGACTTTGTCTTCTGAATTTGGAAGAATATAGAGGTAAAACTCAACTCCAACATTTTGCAGCCAGCACAATTAGTACAAGCCTTGCTAAGATCTTCAGTCCTTCTCTCCGAAATCACTGGACCCCAATTAATCTTGAGTCCAGTAACTTTCTGGTGAAGCTTTACAGTGCATGTCTTATACTCTCTCAAAGATCCTGCCTTTTGACTAATGCAGAGCGCTAAATTTGTTCTTTGATCACAGATGGTCCCCCCCCTTAACTCAGGCTGCACAGACTGCACTGATGAACGCTAACTTTTAACAGGCTGTAAATCAGTCTGTTTTCCTTCCACAATTCCTCAAACAATCCTAGATCAAGTGATGGCAAAGACTTTCTGGCATACTCCAAGCTACAAGTCCTCCCTGCCTGTTCTGCCTCAGTTTAAGAAACCATTTGCAGGCTTCTGCAAGCCCTCAGAGGCTGACTTTATGTGGCTACTCCATTCTGAGATCCAAGAATGGCATTTTTCCGTCCAAATTGCCTCTGATAAACACATCTTGTTTAATCAGAGGGGCAAGAGTTGTGCGACATGGCCACCAGACCTAGCAGATTTCCCAGCAACTTTCTAGCTCATTGTGCTGGTTTTGGCTGGGATGGAGTTCATTTTCTTCCCAGCAGCTAGTACGGGGCTATGGTTTGGGTTTGTGCTGAAAACACCGTTGATAATAGAGATGTTTTTGTTATTGCTGAGCAGTGCTGACACAGAGCCAAGGCCTTTTCTGCTCCTCACACCACCCCACCAGCGAGTGGGCTGGGGGTGCACAAGGAGTAGGGAGGGGACACAGGCAGGAGAGCTGACCCCAGCTGACCAAAGGGGTATCCCACACCGTATGGCGTCATGCTCAGCATGTAAAGCTGGGTAAGAAGAAGGAGGGGGGGACGTTCAGAGTGATGGCGTTTGTCTTCCCAAGTACCTGTTACAGGTGATGGGGCCCGGCTGTCCTGGAGATGGCTGAACACCCGCTGGCCGATGGGAAGCGGGGAATGAAGTCCTTGTTTTGCTTTACCTATTAAACTGTCTTTATTTTAACCCATGAGTTTTCTCACTTACTTTGCTGATTCTCTCCCCCACCCCACCAGGAGAGGAGTCATCAAGCAGCTGTGTGGTGCTTAATCGCCAGGGTTAAACCATGACAGTCATCATAAAGATGGAAAAGAGGAAGGGTTGCTGGTCGACAAGACAGCTATTTTCTTCACTGAAGAACCACTGACTGGCAGCACCCACATAACAGGTTACCACAAGCATCAAGAACCTGCTGAGGGGGGGGAAGACAGACAGAACTATGCATCTCAGATTTGATCCTAAGCTGGAAAGAGCTCAGATTCAGTTTTGTCCTTATGAATATCCCAACTGAATCTTCCCACATAAATCTTATTTATTTAGACTATCTAGTGCCCAAGAAGCATATAACAGTGCTGATTTATCTATGCCCTGTGCTTCCTTCAAGCAACACTATTTCCGTGTTTGGATGGAACCGGCCACAAAAAAAAACCACACACAAAACAAACAAACAACACAAAACCAAAAGCAAAACATTGACAAAAAAGCACAAGCCTTAACATTTTTTTTCCTCAGCATCCCAAACCCTATAAAATTTGTGTTAAGTTTTCTTTTCAAAATCATGACAAGTGTTCAGTTTGCCTAGCAGGAGGCACAGTCACCTGGAATGATGACACGCTTCATTTTAGTCCTTATACTGCTGGTTACCCAACCAGGATTTGGAACATTTGATGCAAGTTCATTTGTAATGAAGTATATCAAGGGGAAATGATTACTTTCCTTGCCTCCTTCCAACCCTTTCTCATCCAATCCAGACCAGAAAAATCTTTCCAGCAAAGCTTTTGTTGAAACAGAAGCATTTCCATGACAAGTTTTGGTTTCATCTGACTGGCAGTTTACAACTGAAAGTATGTCATCAAAAAGGTTCCAGACTAGTTCTTGGCTTGGACCTGCAGTGACCTCAGCCCCAGCAGATGTTTGGAGGCCATGGTACACAGAATGAAACAGATTGCAAACTCACAGACAAGCTGACTGACTGCGTGCACCCATGATCAGGATAAGAGAAAGCTGAAGAAGGGGTAAGCTGCTGGTTATTTCTAAATTTAGGAGCTCTCCTGAATAGAAAGCAGAGCAAACATGTCATCTACCACCTTACACATTCATGGCTTCTTAAAGATCCATCACAAACTTGCTTACTGGACCTTTAATGTACTCTCCCTCAGTTCTTTCCTGCATGTTAGCACCTGTTCCCTGCACTGCCCCCTCTACTGCTTTTTAGCCCTCACCATCCTTTAGTCCCCCCTCAGTCCTCCTTCCATGTAACCTACCCATGTATCTTTGATCCTCAAGGCCTATCAGGCCTTTAGTAGGTATGTGGAGCTCTATGATAAAATAAGGTCAGAGCCCCTTTTTGCCACAATCCTGTCCTCATACAGCAGAGGAAATCATGAAAGGTCAAGGCTGTGTCCTCAGCAAATAGCTGGGCAATCAGGCACTCACAACATCTTGCTGCTCTCTTTCCCCTTCACATGGGCTCAAAGATTCACATTTTCTTCCTTCTCTCCTCTTTTTTTTTCTCCTTTCCATAAACTAAATTTTGAACAGTCAGTTGGCCAAGGCAGCAGATTCCAGAGAGTCTTGTTCCAGGCCAAATAGCAATAAAACTCATTTGGCATTTTCATCTTATTGCTAAGGTAATAAAATTAAGGAACAGGGTTTCTATTTCAGTATGTCATTCCTCAGTAAGGCACCAATGACTAAGAAAAAACTTCCACTGAGCTAGGGAAGCTGAATGCTTCTCACGGCTGACAATTAATGCAACAGGCTTACAATAACTAAGATGTTTGCAGAGCACCTAGAAAAGGTAACTTCCCAACACCCAAATGCGCCGACTCCCTTCCCACTCGTGCTAAACCTGAGGAAAGACCTAAGGAAAGGTTAAGCCTGGACAAAAAAGCTACCCACCCTTCCCAACTGGCACGACAGTTACAACAAGAGCTGTCCACACAGCCAAAACACCTGCACAGGAAATTAGTCCCCTGGAATCTCCATCTCCCTGTTTGCCTTCTCCTGCCAAGCAAGCCTGCCCACAGTCAAGAATGACTGATAATTATTGAATTTGGGTTGAACAGTTTCAATTAATAAAATTTCCAAAAATACCAATTTGGTCCAGGTCCCAACAGAAGATGAGGTGAAGACGAAAGAGGAAGAAAAGGAAGGAGGGTGGGTTGGTTGCTCGGGCATTAAACAGAAAGGAAAATATGTTATTCACATGCCCTGTTTTCCCCCATTCTTGAAGCATAATTTAACTCTGAAAAAGGGCAACAGTAGAACCCTGTACTCTCTTTCTGAATTGCGCTCTCTGCGTCATCCACTTTCCTGCAATGCTGGATTTAGCAATGAAAATAAATATTATTTCTGGTAGTCAACAGGGTCTCTGGAGAAGGACTGGGTCTGTGCTGGGCTCATACATCACCCAACCTGCATGGCTGAGACAACAGAATATTGTTAGCAGTGTATTACTCAGAAGGGACCTGATCTGAACTATGGTTTCCAAGGACTTCTACAGTACCAGAAGGGTTCTGGACAAGTTCCGGCTCATCTTTTTGCCCTGTTTCTGTACAGTGCTTGGCACAAAGGTCTGTGATAAGGGATATAAGACAGAGCCATAACACAAATAATCAACTACATTTGCACGTCAGGGTATTAATCCCACTCATTTTCTTATACAAACGGTGGCACTTTTGAATCATCTGGGAGAAAACAGATTCCTGAGCTTGCTGTAACTCCATGACAGTCTTGCATTCTCGTGCATAGGGAAGGAAAGGCACTTACCTCCTTCCTTGCTGACTCCCAAGCACCCTTTCAGCTCCTGAAGGGAGATCGACTTGTCCTTGTTGAGGTCACAGTAGTCAGTGAAACGTCGAGCACATTTCTTGGGCTTAGCTTTCTTCTTTACGTAACGCTTGAAAGGCTTCAGCTCCCGCTTGTTAATGTCATTGCTGCTGTTGTTGTCCAGCTGGCTGAAGTACCAGTGTACCACTCGCTCCTCCAGTGTGTGGCTGGGGTCTGGCTCAGAGAACCTGGAACAGAGGAAGCACAGGCCCCTGACAAGTGGGTGCTCTCACCAACACTGAGGAGCCAGAGCTGCGTGCTGTGTCAGACACACACTATGCCATATTCAAAGCAAACAAAAATACACAGGTCTTACAATCTAATGCTTTTAGCTGGGCTCTTCTGAGATGAACTTTTTCTAAAAACATCCTTTAGCATTAACAAATGGTGCCAAGAGATTCCTGGGGTCTAATACCCTCAGTAGCTCTAGTTCTCACACCAGTTGCTGAAACTCCACCTAATCCCAGAAGGATCCCCCTTTAGAGGGCAAGAGGCAATCTCCATTGTCCTTTTGACCCTTGGACTCCCATTCAAGTTACCAGCAGGAGAGCCATGAGTGTCAGCTGTGACAGTAGTTTTTGATAGCAAAATCTAGACTTCAGAAAGGGAACAAATTCATTTAATGCAAGACACATTCATTATTTGAAAATGTCCTTGGCAAGATGCAACGTTCCTGCTGTATCTATTTATACAATCTGAACTCCTGTGCTGTATTTTCAGCATATTTAATGCTTTTCACATGGTTGATTTAGACACAAGAATTCCACAGCAGGCAAGCACCACAAATCCATTAAAAGCAATACTACAGAACTGGCAACTTCAGTTTACTTCACTTCTTACTCGTCGTGATATTACAAGCTTGACATTATTTGGCTCACATTTTATTTCTGAGGACGACAATAAACAACATCAGAGAGGAGGAGAAGAGGAGCAGAAGGAAAAGCAACAGCTGAAGATGCACAAATAGAGAATGCTGCCATTCAATGCCAAGCCATCACTGAACAGGCACTGTTATGTTGTACCATTTAAGTGTCTGGTGCTCTGCAGCAGCAGCGGGTAAGGCATTATTCCTCAGTGAAACATAGAACCAGGAAAGAAATTCTTTCTAAAGAAGAATTCTTTTTAAAATGTACTAAGCTAGTCCATCTTTTCTCCATGCGACGAGTGTGCCAACAGAGAAGGCTGAAATGAGGCTGAAATGAGGCTGAGACTTAAGCCTTTTTCCTCCCAAGAATAAAGCACTTCAATGAATGGAAATTAGTGGATAGGTAGTCAGACACACTACACTGGCACTGCTTGTTCTGACATATTCCAGGAGACAACTCCAGCTGCTGCCTAATTCCTCCTCCAACAGTGAGAGAGGGACAGTTGCGTGCTGCAGGCAGACAAATTCTGGTGTGAATTTGGGGCACCCTAGCTGATGGGGAAATATGCACCCAGGTACCTTATAAAATGCACTTTAAGATTGACACCAACCTTTTTTCAGAAACTGGTAGGATAGTTATTTAAATGATCACAGAAAATTTCTTTGTTGGGAACAAGAAGGAGAAAATTCTTTTGACCTTCCAATACCACCAGTTTTGCCTCTAAAACACAGCTACAGAGCCCAAAAAACAAAAACCCCACCCTGCCACCATGGCAATTTAAAACACTAGGGAAGAGGAGTCTGCAACATGCAGAAAGCAAGTACTGGAGCTTAGCTAGAGATCAGAGATCCCCATTACCCTTCTCTGATAGCTTTTACAAATAAGAATACAATTTAGAAAGGTAGCCCCTATCCAGAGACATCTGGATCCTCAAAACAAGTAAACACACAAAGTAAAGGCAAATAAACTCCACATATTTCCTGAGGTTTTACTTAGCTGAGAAGCAGCCTGGCATTCAGTCACAGCATCTGGTCAATGTACAGTGGGATAAACGCTGTGGGGGAGGAAGATGATGTTGGGAATAAGTTTGGCTTAGTTTTGAGAGCCAAAATACAAGGCAAGCCCCTGGAGCCACCTATGGACAAGCAGAAATTGCAAAAGTCTCCTCGAGAAGCTAAGGGAATGCCCAGATTTTTAAGAGCCTTGAAACTGCATGTGAAGATCAGGTTGACAGGAAAGAATAAATACACATCCTGTGGCTTGTTTTTATGACATTTATGAACACAGTCATTGGCCTCTCTCCCTTTTGGAAATGAGCTGGCTATCATTTGAAGACTAGCATGTTTCCAACAGCCACAGGGAATTTCTGTATTGCAAGGGACAATATTCTGCTTTTGCTGAGATAGAGGAATAAAACTTGAGCTTTTGCATGTGAGATTCCCCTCACCCACACCTTAGCCTGCCCTTTGCTTCCTGAAGGCCCACAACTGGAGAGGCATAAACACAGAAAGTAGCAGAGCATCTCACAACCAACAGCAGAAAGACAACAGACTCAAACACAAGCTTTCTATCTGCTGAAGAGACACTCAGAAGCAGAACTTAGAAGTGCCTCTTTTTAAGAGGCACACCAAGGAGGAGCTCTTACGAGTTACCAAGAGAGGCAGTATAGTTCTTTTCAGCACTTCCATAAAGAAAATCAGGGAAATCCACAGGCTAGTACAAGTACATTGACTCATGAGGTGATAATACATGAATTTTTGCCATTACAAACATGCTGAGAGCTCATGCTGAAAACTGCAGCATGCTAATGGAGCTAAAGGGAGTTAAATTAACTGCTGTGATTGTAGGAGGAAGAAAGATACATCCATTTCTGAGTTTTTACCACTTCATGTTGGCTGGCTTAGTGGGACTGCAATTCTTGAGTTAGTTGCCTGCCCTTTCTGATGATCATCCAGAATCCCAGCACAGGAAGGATCCACATTGTCTCAGTGCAGCTGTATCTCCCTGGCTCATGAAATTACATGATACGCTAAAGAAGGTTGAGGTTACTACACCATATCTAACTATCTTGACTTTGATGGCTGTCCATGCAAGACCCTTATGCACCATCCATGAAACATGAACTGATGCAACTTCACAGCACTGCTAAGCCGCCTAGCTTTGATGACGTGCCATGACAAGCACCACACCTGCTGGGTCAGCTGAAATAAATCTGGGGGCTCTAATTGTCCTGCAAGCACAGACTTTGCAGAAGTATTCCAGGGGAATTTCCCTCTATTACCTCTCCATGCTGTTGCAAGAGAAATAAATCGGCCCTCAGATGCAAGCTTCGTTTGTTGGGCTGCCTCTCTCCTCATTCAGACCATAAAGGAATCAGAAAAACCAAGAGAGAACAAAGCTGCTTTGTACGCTCTCAACTCCCAGCAAAACAACATCTCTTGCACCAGTCACACAAAAATCCACTGAATTCCATTCTCTCACACCAGTGCTGCAGCACCTTTGTAAGACCTAGTAAAAACCGACCTCACCAAAACACAGCCAGCCTTCTCAGTCTTCTTATGTCAACTATATTACAGCTGTACTTACTTTTCTTCCTAATTGTTCCTCTTTAGCACTGTATGGCAAAACAATCAATCCTAAAGAATAAGTGCTGGGTAAGCAAAGAGCTCTGTGCAACCTGATTTTCCAAGTCTAACCTGATATTGCCATATCACTTCTGTACATAAGCCAGCAAGTTTAGCTCCATTATGCAGCATAAGCCCACAGTCCAACAAGGTAGAGAAGCATGGTCTGTCATTAACAGCCTAGGACAGGGAACCTGTTCTCTCAGCTTTCTTACAAATTTGCTAGCAACAAGTATATAGTCTTCTCTAAGCAGGCGTTTGCTCCTCTTCCTGTGTAATGTGCCACCAGCTCCCTCACAGGAGAATATTTATTTCTTACACCGTTTATACATGGAGATATGTGGGTTAAGCTACTGTTACTTTTAACAATGTTCTTTTCCAGTCAAGACTCACTTCCACAGAACACCTTCATATCATCTGTTATAACTGGTGTACACAGGCAGAAAGCAAAGAGGCTATGAAAAAAACATGGACATGCACTTCCACAGCTGCCCTGAATTCTGGAGCAGAGAGAAAAGAATATGCCAAAATATCAAATAGACAGCTTGAATATGCACTTTGCATATGTATGTAATGCCTCCCAGCCCTTGAGACCCCTTGTGAGCAAGGAGGAGTTAACTCAGTGGGAAGGAGCAGAGAAGAAGGGGAGGTATATAGGGTGAAGTTTATAAGAGCAACAAATGTCAGATAGTACTCATACAGAACCGTGTACACTGTGCAATCACATTACTTTCCACAGACCTGTGCTGTCAAAGTATAATACGTCCCACTACATTTTACTAAGTAAACTGAAGTCCATTCCTACTAAAGCGCTGATCCTTTGCTCCCTGAACACTTGCAGCCCCACTGCACAGGCTGCATGGACCCACAGTACTGTTGCAGCGACAGAAAATCCTAATACAAAATACTGCTTTGACAGAAAGCAAGACTGCGAGCTCTAAAGTACCCAGCAAATGATTGCCTGTTTGAAGACTTCTAGAAAACCTATTCTTCCGTAATACAAATTTTATGTAGCAAAAATAGCAGCTGAGGCAGGAGGAGCGAAGGGGAGTAAGACCAGCCTAACATCACCTAACTGGACTGCAGAGACTACGAACCAGAGGGAGCTATTCCAGAATGAAAGAACACTGATGGACAACAAGCTGCTAGCGGGAGCAAGAGAGTAGAAAATAAATCACTCCAGCTTCCACTCCTAACACATAAGCTATGTTTGTGGTCAGGATGTCTACAGGAGGTAAAGCTGTAAGTTTCTATGACTCGAAAATATTTTGCAAGGATGTATACCTTGCTCGGTGCTGTTACTGAATGAAGAACAGATGAGAATGAAGCTAAAGAAACGACAGGACTCACCCTGCCAGTCAGTGCCCATGACAACATTGATGATGTCCACCAAGGTGCCTGAGGGGAGTGGTGGAAAGAGATGAATTCAACAAACTGAGGTAAAATTTAGAATTGTTCTTCCTCTGCTTCCACTTCTTACTCTCCTCTTGTTCTTCGCAGTTGTCTATTCTAAAGTTAAAGTCTGTAACAGTGGAACATGGCTTGAATCAAGGAGGATTACTCTAATGGAAGTGCAAAAGGACCCTGTATTTGCTTTATTATTCTCCCTTTCCTGTAGCAAATCATAAGCCAAAAAACCCTAAGCTGTGTTCAGACTAAACAAAAGGGTACTACACAGTCCAAATTCATTACGGCAAGTACATAATTCCTCTACAGTTAAAACCTAAGTTATCTTCCTATCACAGGCCCAGTTTCTTCTCTTCTGGCTAAGTTGTGTATGAAACATTATTCTGAACACAATTTTCCTGAAGATTGTAGGATAAATCATTTAGAAAGTTTAAAAATCACTTCCCTTCAGTCTTCACTGACTGTTCAAAGATCCTCCTCTTACATGAACTCTCCTGTATCTTTAATTAGGCTAGAATTTCCATAGGAGCACAAAGAGAAGTTGGGATCCAACTTCAATTGAAATGCAATAGGAGCTGGGCATTAACTTCCCTGCACTGTTTGAAAGTGTCAATCTTTATTAAAACATGGCTCGGCTTCAGAACACCCTGGAGATGTGCTGAGCTGTGCTTGCCTGCTTCAAACTGCTCAACTAGAGCATGAAAGGGAACCTGAGGGACAATTTTCTGAAATACTTTTTAGGGCTATTACATGGGGAATAATTGGCAACTTAAAATGAAGGGACACAGCTGCTGTGTTACATGATAAGGGTGGCTGTTGTAAGCTGCCCTTTTAACCCTAAATTCCACAGGGCAGTAATATTTTTTGCTGATAATGTAGCAAGCCATAGCACACACATTTTGGCAACTAAAATTCATTTCTGAATTGGCAGGGACCAAAGAGTTTCTCAAATCAGGAAAATCCAGGCCGGGATTCCCTTTGGTCTATTTTAGTTTAGGCCCTGTGTTATATGAATACAGCTAAATTAGAAAATAGACTAAAATGTACTAAAGCATAGTTTAAATTTTAAGAAGTGCTGCTCCTATTATACAGGATTTATAAGTGAACAATTTCAATCAAGCATTTTTTCAAAAAGGATACCAAACACTGGCTAATAAACCAGTTTCCTACAAGCGCTCCCTTAATTACTTTGAAAATACATGGTAACAAGATGTGCCTTGGAGTTATTACACAAACTTAAAATTAAGAATTAATTTTACCAGAGATTTTCTGTTTCAAAAGTCTAAATGAAGTCTACTTGGCTATTTTGCTGTAATATAAACCAGGGCCATGAGGAAGGGAAGTTCTCATCTCATTTACATTATTGTAAAGCAAGAGTAACTCAATTAAAGTCAATAGCTTTGAACTTGCTTAAATGAGACAAGACCTATAAGGGATTACAAGGTTGTTTTAAGTATGCCCAATAAAAAAAAAAGTCTTATCAGGTTTTACTTACATGGCCCGCAGCAATCCAAGTTGTACAGCCTCGCTTTGCTGCTACTAGATTGTTTCTGTCTGCGCCAAGTATAAAGTGCACAATTTAGCACAGTCTGTGCAGTATTTTAAATGCAGATCTCTATCATTTCTCCTCATGCTCCTCCCTTCCCCCCCAAAAAAAGCTAAAATGGACATTAATTGCAAAGCCACAGATAGCTTTGCAGCATAAATAGGTGAAGTCTTCAAGATGAAGACACTCAGCCAGCAAACACAAGATGCTTTCACTCGCATATCCAGATTCAGACTGAAGGCAGCAGGGTAATCTAATCTGATTTCCTGTATACCATACTCACAGAATGTGAATCAAATTACTCTTAGGGCCATAACTCAAGTTTGACCAAAGCAAGTCTTTCTGAAAGGCATCAGACCTAAGATGAAAGTCTTAGAGAGAGGGAATCTGTCACCTCCCTAATGACTTCATTCTGCCTTACAATTGCCATCACTTTAAAGAAATTTTGATCACAAATTTGTTTATATTCAGCTAATCATGTTCTTTCCTGCTAGACTAAAGAGCCTGCATAGCTTTTGTCCCTATGGAGATACTCAGATTATATGAAATCATCTTTCAAACTTTTTTTTTCCCCCTTTCTTTTAATATCCTAAGGAAGGCTGAGCTCCTTAGGAGTCTCACTGACAGGCTTGTTCAGTCCTTGACACTTTGTTTTTTTTTCCCTGCATTTGGTCCTGTATTTTTCATGTTGATACTACAGATGGATATTGTATGCCAGTACCATCTCTCTGCTGCCACGGAGAAACAACAATACTCCCTTGCTTCCCTAAAACTCCTACTTGGTGCTTCTTTGATTAAAACACATAGGACAATATATGGGGCCAGCTGAAATGGGGACTGGCTTGCTGTTCACCAGGCCTGCCCCCTGCAATAGGCATAGGCTTTGCTGGTGATACATTAAAAATTTACCTTGGATCATTGGATGCATTTGTTCAAACTCTAAAAAAGGCCCAGGAGGATGAAATGCTGAACACTGTAAAGGGACAGAAAGAAGGAGGATACAGAGGGAACCAGTGTGTGTTTAAATACAGAACCTGTTCTGCCATCATGGCAAAGATGGAGAAGAGCCTGCAGTAAGTGAAGCTTGCCTCACAAATAAGAAAACTGATATTAAGATATTAAAACTGACATGACTGACATTAAGAAAATCAGATGTCCAGATCTCTAGCTTTTCTTTTCAATGTGACCTTCTCAGCAAACCTGGGCCAGTGAGATACTGAATAAGCAGAGTCATAAATCCAGTATTTTGTTAGTTATTAAGGTTGGAAATTAATTAGCCCTATGATTAACCCTATAGGCAAAATATCTCTTGGTCTTAGAAAAGAGCTTTAATTTGCAGTGCCAAAGTCAAGTTAGGTCACAAAGACAATTTCAGATACTCCTCAAGAGAGGACTCAGGACATTCCTCCCCTTGGGAAACTTGGAAAGCAGGAGTCATTGCAGAGAGACACACTCCCAACTCTGCAAACTCATATGAAACGAAAGCTGTACTGATTATATTTTTACAAAAATTCCTTGAAATGCTTTTTGCAAAATAAATGGTCCCATCATGGCATGGTGGGATGGAAAAGCTTGACGCATGTTCTTTGGGGTATGTGCTTAGCCTAGCTGATGCACATGGCAGTTTATGCCAGAGCAGTTTCCTGAATTTAATCACGGCTGTGGGCAGGCAGAATATTTGGGTGGTAGCAGTTTTGCGCTTTACAAAGGACAGCCTGCTAAAAGATTTCTTTTTCCCCTTGCAACTGGGCTGCTGACACTGGAGCTGAAAATAAATCAACACGACGACTGTGTGAAGAGCTGGGCAGTGAAAAATTCTACCAGAAAGGCCTCTATTGAAAGCTGAGAAATACACAAAGCTTGGGGAACATTAGGAAGCAAGCCTGCTGGTTTATATAAGTGCAGTGGGGGCATACATCTCTGGTCTCTACAATATTGGTTTATATTAAGCTTTATTTTAAGAGTGATGATTACATTGGCTGGGTTTCAGTCCCAGTGCCAAAGATGCCAAATAAATATCAAATACTCTCCAGGGCTTCCAGCCACCCCTACCCACTGCATTTGAACCATGCAAATTACACAGAATTGACATTGGAATGCTTATGGCTGGGAGAGAACGACGTATTTCCCATCCTTGGGGCATTTTTCATCCTGTTTATATGAATACAGACATGCTAGGCATATACAGCTAATTCGATGGGTTACAGAATATTCAGCGTGCAGGCACTCAGCCACTGGCCTGATTTGTAAAGTCCAAATGCAAAGTTAAAACCACATGGGTTCACAAGCAATCCATACTGAAACCAAGGGGCACAGAGGTGCCACCCAGGAAGTTTTTTGTCCCGAGTAGTTAAAGATTAAACTGCTTCCTTCTACATTTTGAAAGAGGAAAGCAGGGGCTGAACATTACTCTGTTGGAGCAATACTCATGGAAGTAACACATGCACAGAGGTGCCTCCATCTTTATATCCCTATGATCATAAGCACAGGAGTCATTGTGGCATAACTGCATGCTAAACTAGCACTGACTCCTTTTATACCCGGGGGATACCACAACCACAGAAGCCTTGCCTAGCTGAGGCAATACAGCACCACTTTTAAATCCATCACAGTCCGTCCTCAAAGGGCTGTCCTGCCGCAGCACTGCAGCTGCTGCGCTAAGGGGATTTGCTGTTATCAAGCAGAAGGGGGAGACAAGACCTCAGCTTTTCTCCAGTTCCCCAGAAACGAAGACTTCTGCCCACCTCTTGCAACAGGCCTGACCTGCTGCTGGTTCCAAGAAGGGTGAACAAGCAGCTGGTCAGAAGGGAGGACTATGAAAAACAGCTCCTCTCCTCATCGGCAGGCTGACTCCAGCCCCACAGCAAAACCACAGCACTGGTACTGCCAAGAATTCAGTTCGCATTCTTCACTCCCTGTGGCAGCCACTAGGCCACACGGTCTCCTTCAATCCATTTGCATTTTATTAGGTCTTTTCATGCGCCAGGGGACAAAAGAACAAGCCACTTCCTCCCACTGAGTTCTCATTTCACACTTCAAATGGGCTATTCAAACCTTTATGGTGGAGCAGCTGCCAGGGAGGAGAGGCGGGAGGAGGTAGGCAGGGCTAGGATGACAGGCCAGAGCAATGTCTGAAGATGCAGCCCCAGCTCCTGTCCCAGCAACCCAGAGGAACCTGAATCAGTGCAGAACAACACCCTTCCCCCCTGCCCCCACTTCTGGGGCACCCAGAGCTCTGCAGCCACCTTGGTGAAATTCAGCCCGAGTGCTTTCTGGACTCACCTCCCGCCCCCAGTAGGTGCTGCTGAGTTAATAGCCTGTACCATGTCCGTAGTCAGAGCATCAAGTAAGCTGGTAATAAATTCAACTTTCTTCCCTTCTGGGCAGCCTGCAGAAAGAAAAGAGGAGGTTTAACGCAAGAACACACAGGATTGGTCTCCTACCCCAGTTCAGCAAGGATCAGCCAGAATGTCCCTTGTTTGTAACATGGCAGCCATCATCACAGTCCCTAAGGAAAGGGAGAAGAATCTCGCAGTGGGTTTCTCTGTGTGGCAATTTGTCCTGCAGCTTTTGTCCAGGCACACACAGGGTCATCAACAATATCTGGCAGGAAGGCCATGTGGTTAGCTTTATGGCCTCTCCTAGTTCTCCACCAGCATAACCACAGGGATGTGCTGGAAGCGCCTGGCAGATGGGAGTTCCCATGGTGACACTTGCAGAGAAGTTTACAAAACAACTCATTACCTCCGGGATCATCTTCCTCTGCAAACATGGCTGTTCTGAGGTCTCACTGACAGCTTAAAGCTTCCCACAGCATGGGCCAAAGCAAGGACTGCTGCTTGCACGCTCCTCTGAAGGCACAGAGAGCATTGCCTGACAGCAGCTACCACAATAATTCAGTTCTTTGCATGATCACAGTGCATGGGAAATACGTCAGTCTAAGTCAACACGTGGTAATCGCCCCCAATCACTGCTGGCTTAAGCAGGACAAAGCAGGCTGAAGACAAGCTTGGTAACGATTTCCATTACTTAGTGCTGAGGCCGTCTAGTTCCCCACCATCGTAACCAGAGGCTGACAGAGCCTCCTATCCTTAACAGTGCCAGCCTCTTATGACACAGCTGAGATTAAATTCTCCACCTCCTCACCTTTATGAGGCAAACTATGCTGTTTCCTCGCTTCTTAAGGGAGCAAAAGCACGCTTCATTTACTACCACATTAATACTGTAACAAGTGCTCTAGCCTACCAAGGAATCAGCATACCAAACTTCAATGCATCACCACCAAAACTATTGTCCAAAATCTGTCACTTCCCATCCTATTCTCCTCTCTTGATGTGACAGAGAAGCCATCATCACATCCCTCACCTATTCTCTTTCCCCAAACTGTCACGCACTACCAATTAGTCAGCTGACTGAGGCAGCAGACATCAGAAAACAGCCTCCCCCAGCAACATATAGCAATGTCAACCCTCTGCTTTTCTCAGACAAGCAGAGAAGCACGTGTACCCCAAAGAGCACCAGAAACTGAATGTAATCCCTTGGCAGCTGAAAGCAGCTTGCAAATTGATCCCTCCTTTGCAGTACTGCAGGCTCTGTTCTCTGTAATAGCTAACCAACAGTCCCTCGCCTGTCTCCATATTATGTGCATTACACACACGCACACCCCTCAGCACTCATTTGGCACATGGTCCAGAAAATGTCAGCATTGTAATGGGTAAGCCGCTATGGCAGCCAGAGTAGACTACTCACTTAAAGGAGCTTTTTGTTGTAGTAATGAGAAGGCTGAAAAACCATTTGCTAGAAGTCATCTCCCTGGGGCCTCAGCATCTCACCGTCTGCAGGAATTAGCAGCTTGCCATTTGCTATGTGCAAGCAACACTTTCCTTTCTTTCTTCTGGCCACAGCCATGACACAATTTGTGAAGAGAGTATGTGTAGGTGTGCAAGGATCTGAACTTATGTCTCCCCTACCTTGGCCTCTGCAGGGTCTCTTCACACAGGCCAAGGAGCACACTGCCTGCAGCACAGAGTCTGAAGAATGGGCAAACCTCTTGGAAAGGAATAAGGTCTGGGGTCCCCCTTACAGAACTGAGTGCAAATGGAATGATCAGTTTCAAATTAAAGCAGGTTTTTTTCTTAAAATTCAGTTCTGCTAAGAAATAAGAGTGGAAAAAAGTAAAAAGAAATTTCCTCTCTCACCCCCTGCAGTTCTGCCTCACCAGTGAATTTCTGCATACAAAAGCAGCTAATCAAACAAACCTCAAGTCTGCATCAAAAGATCATGCAGCACAGCATCTCTCAGGCAGACAAACCAGGATCAGATCCTCCATCTCCTAGTCTCTCCATACACAAAGGTATTTTCAGTGACAAGAACCACCATGCCAGCCAACTCATTCAAGCACAGAGTCGCAAGTTTACTCAGGCACAGAAAAGTGGCTTGAACTGAGAGGGGAACTCTCCTGGAGTCTGATGCTAGGACCAGACCACTAAGCTACAGAGCATCATGTGTCCTCTTCTGCATCAAGCAGTTCCTGTCCCCTTGTCCAGCTGCAGCGGTGGGAGAAGGGAAACAAAACCATTCTGTCTTCCTGAGAAATCAGTCTCAAAGAAAAAACCCAAAAGCAAAGGATTTTCACAGAGGAGTTCCAGAGGGGCAGGGAAGAAGTGCAGGGAGAGGCAGTAAAGCAAGGGGAGAAGGGGATGGGGAAGGAAGGATGTAAGGTTATCCTATTTTAGTGTGATTTCCTAAGGATATGAGCCTTAATGCAATCATTTAGCTGGTTTCCCTCCTCCTACCCCCCCAAAGTAATACTTGAATCAATTGGCCAATTTCATTTGAATGTGAGAGGGAGGCAGATAGGAAATTTCATGACTTGTAAAAAAGAGGAGCTGCGCAGAAAACCCTGCTGAAAGCAGAGCTGCTAAGCAGAAAGCTATGGGGCCCAAGGTCAGGAGCCGGCAGGAAGAGAATTAGGAGACACAGAAGGAAAATCTGGAACAAATTTCATTTCCTTTCCTAACCTGCTCAGGGACAACTCACTTTATGCTAGTCCTAGAAAGGGCCAGGAGAAAATGAAGGGGATCCAGAGCTACGAGCTCTGCAGTGTTCTTGGTTTCTACCACTCCCTCATGGTGGAGAGGGACCCACTGTAGCTCCTATTTTCAAGCAGTCAGCCCTCACGCAGGAGAACAGTCTGTCCTGTCAGCGAGGGCCTCTCACTCTACTCCTTAAAAAGATGGTGGGAAGGAAAAACCAAAGCACAGGTAGGATAGCATTTTTAAGAGCTGCAGACACACCTATCCGCAGCACACCTTCCTAGCAGAAACAAGGTAGGCAAACAGCAAATTATGGCTTGTCACTCTGTTTAGAGGGAAAAGCAGAATATAAAATGAGCAGCAATGGGAGATAAAGTGGGTCCCAGGCAGCATGTGAAGGATAAAGCCCAGCTATGTGAGAAGCCAGCATTAGTTGAGACCATAGTGCACCAGGAACACTGCCCTGCCTGGTTCGTGCAGCATCAGGGAGCCAGTTGGTCCACTGACAATTGCCAGCTGTGTCCTCTTTCATTGCTCAGAAAGCACCAAGCTGTTGAGAAACCCTGCTAAATGGAAAGGGTCTTGTCCTGGCCAGGCTGAGCCCGTTCTTACCCCAGGGGACCTCAAGCCATCCAGGTTTCTTTCCTGAAAATTCTGATCCCAGACATGTTTTCAAAGGGCAGACAGGCAATAAACCAGTCCTCACGACACTCTCAGCCTTTTCCAGTTCACTGCTGAAACTGGAGGTGATCCAAAATAACAGAATAAAATCCATGGTAAAACATGCACAGTGAGGGAAATCCCCCACCTCCTCAACAATATTCTTGTCCTCTTAAGAGTCCCAAGGTGAGACAAGGGAAGAAGGCAGAGACAGGATCTTGTTCCTCTCTGACCTGGAAGTTCTCTGTCCTTGAATGGATCATCAATCTCTGTGCTCTTCGATCTGGCATCGCTTTCACACACTGGGGTCTCATAGCTGAAAAAGGAGAACAGCAGATGCTAAACTATGCAATACTGCTTTAGTGTCATCAGATGGTTGCTAAGCAGTTGTGTCTTATCTGCTTACTGCAGGGGAAGCCAATAAACCTGCAGAAGAAATATTATTCTCAAGCATCTGTCTGCTTATGGACAGTCAGCAACAGCAGCAGAAGTGGAAAGAGAAGGAAGAGGACACTCTGAAGTCCAGTACCAGCTACCAACCCAAACCCACAAACAGCACAAGGCCCTCTTCCAACTCTTGTGGGCACAGGCTGAGATTTTTTTCAAAGCTGTCCATGCTCTGCAGATTCACTGTATCTAGCAGAGTTTAGGTCCCAACTCCTGCTGGCCAGTTTTTATAACTTGCCAGACCCAAAATTTGTTTCCAAACCCCAAGTGAGAAAAGATTCCCCAGGTAGTTTTAAGATACAGAGTAAGAAAAATCTTATCAATGGCTTACCAAATCAAAAATCTTAAAGAAAAATCTATCAATGGCTTAAAATCTATCACTGCACAACTAAGCAGTCTTCTAAACCTGTACTAGTCAGGATCCAAATGGCTGCAGCACGTGAGCATAAAGCAGAGGATAATGCAACAAAGCCACTTGTCTTTTCACTGCTTATGTCCCTAATCTTTACTGTTGAGCAAAACCCTGGTTCCTGCTATTACCCACAAGCTGCAAGCCAGAGGAAGAAAAAAAAAGGCTGCTTTGCATGAATACTTAACACAGAGGAAAGTAAAGGCAGTAGTTACTATGGACCAACTCCCACAGAGGGAGCTGTATAGTAACATTCCATAGGAAACACCACATATGGCATTGCTAGCTCTAAGGAAGGCAACAGAGAGCTGACTGCTCTACAAGTAGGAACTTATCTGATATAGCAACGGTGTATTTTTTTACGTATCTTCTTCTCCAGGCAGGCATCTCACCAGGCCTATAGCTCTTACCGAGTGGAAGTACCAGGCAGGGGGCGTCCCGTGTCCACCAGAACACACCAGCAGTACCCAGTCGACTGGTGGCATTGCACTGGTTTGTAGAGCCCTCCAGGAGCACACTCAGGGATGACGATACCCTCGCGGGGGTTCTGCCTGGCCTCCTCCAGGGCGCTCTGCCTTTCCTGGTCGCAGGAGTGAACTTTCTCTGGAAGATGGGAGGGAGGTTGGAGGGGGTGGAGAAAAAAGTCAAATCAAGATCACCTTCCTCAGCTCAGCAGGATAAGTGTATCTGTCACATCAGGAGGCCTTTGTGTCTGTTTCCTTCTCAGCAAACCCCAGTATGTCTACATCCCTAGGGAGTCAGGGACTTCTGGGTTGAGAGCTTCCTCTTACATTTAGCTATAACACAACAATATTTAGATTATAGACATTGACTTCCCAGTGCCCAGCAAGCCAGGAACAGTAGGAAAAAATGCTCCTGTTCACCTGGGTTTTAGAACAGAGCTATCAGGTAACAATAATTCACTGTTAACGCAGCCATGGGGTAAGCATTTCCCACATGATGTTTTCACATACTGAGAGATCCAAAATTGTGACTTGTATTTTCTGGTTAAACAAAGGAGGCAACCACCTTGCCCTGCCCCACCCCACTGTCTCTTTTCTACAGACTGCAATGCACTCTTCCCTCTCAATAGCAACTTTCCAACATGACCCCAAGAGGAGCAGAAGCACTGCCTTATCCACTGCAGACAACACCTGCACACACCTCAGCAGGGAACAGAATGGGATACCCCATTCTACCCACACTGCCATCACCTCTCCAGCATACTCCAACATCATCCTCACCTGGAAAACAGAGGGCACCTAACATTGCTTCCTACCAAGGGGTAGGTAGGACCCTGTCCCTTGATAGCTTGTTACACAGAAGAACAGAGTACACGCACGAAAGAACAGAAAGAAGCCCAGAAGCAGCTTCTGTAGCCAGCCTGGCACCTTTGGTCCTAACGCTTCCTCTTCAACAACTGCCTGCAGAGGAGTGACGGATGCACCTGTAGAGGTGCCAGGCTGCTGCCTCTTACATGGACCAGCCATTAAAGGGGAAAGAAATGCACAGAGTACCCACAGGCTGTTTAGACCTATCTGGCTCAACAGCTTGAAATTCTCAATTACAAGCCTTCAAACATTCTGGCCCTTTGAGGAGTAGGAAAATTATTCCAACTTTAGAAACCGTTGAAGCTATCACAGAGAGAAAAAAAAGCATTCATGTAGGACAGAAAGCAGTCAAGGCAGCTGATCACAGGATTTAAAACATGCCTAAATGTAAGGTAAAAAAAGACAATATAACTCCTAACTTTTATCCTTAGGAGAATGACAAAAAACAGAAGCAGGAACAATTGTTCTCTCCTTCCTTAGCTTTCCTCTCCCTTGCAGTTTACTGTGTTCTTTTTTTTTTTTTAGAAACAAGCCACATCTGAAATTCCTTGCCACGGCCAAGAGTCCCTTCAAGCTTTCAATACTTAAAATGCTTCAACACTGACAGGCAGTGGCACCACAGGTTCATCCCAAACCTGCAGATGTTTGCACAGTCACCCAGCAGACGTGGCATCACTTCAGCATCCTGCTCCCAGGACAGGCTCAGTGCACAACTAACACACACTCACTGTTTCTGTATATTTTGCCTGCCTGTCCGTCTGTACCCCATCAGTTATGTCTTATATTTTGCTGATAAATTCTGGTGCAGAGAGTAATTTTTGTTCTGTATTTGGGGAACAGAAGAGGTGCTAATTCACAACTAGAATTCCTCAGCTAGGTAGCAGCAGGTACAACACAAAAAACTCCAGCAGGTCTGCACAGTATCACCTGAGTACATCACACCTTGGGTACCAGAAGCACTTTTATTGGTTTCTAATTGAACTGTAGCAGCTAAAGAGTCTCAGAGACCCAGAATGGTCTCCCTCTCCTGAGCATTTCAGATCACTGTTGAGGCTGGGAATGTGAAGGGCACCTCAATTTTACCACGCACAAATCCACACAACCGAAACACAGAATAAAAACTTTTAAGTGTCAGCATATCTGACTCAAGCAGAGAGAAACTTGATCGGAAAGGAACAGGAGGGGATAAAGTCAACAAAACCTGAAAGGGAGTTCAAGCCTCAGCTGATATTTAAGCTGACTTCACTTTGCTGACAGATTTCACATCTGAAAAAAAGGCCCCATGACTGTTCCCAAGCTGTACATGGACAGAGAAGTCATTGAGCAAGAGGCCAGCAGGGTCCTTGACAAACCACTTGCATCGTGAGGGGCCCCCTCTTACCCGTGGTCTGCTGACAGCAATTCACACCTTGGCCCTCAGGTGAGGAGGATCATTCATGCCTCTTGGGCAAGCAAAACCAGGGGCAGAATTCCCTATCATCATTTTACATAATAAGCAAAAGAAAACTTCTGCTGAAGAGAACTACATTCCAGGAATTTTTCTATCTAAATCCCCAGAGACTCCTGAGTGCATGAAGTCAAACCAAGATCTCTCAAGTCCTTTGAATCTTGGAAAACCAGCACTAAAAATTACCCTGAAAAAAAAAGGGGTTTTTTTTGTGTGTGAAATAAGATGCCACTTTTCTAGAAATCAAGAAAAAAAAAAGAAACAGTAAGTGTCTTTTAATGAGTTAGTACCTTATTTTACATACATTTGTAGTTGGGCATGCAAGTTACACAGAATAAACGTACACACACACATTTGTACTATGCCATAAAAAATGGCTAAAAATTCTGTGCACACATTAAGACAAATTTGTGGGAATTGAATAGTCACAACATTTACTACTAGAATACAGAACTAATTGGTATTCCCTCCTGTTTGAAGGATGCTTAAAGGCTGAGTCAAACAAATCTTACAGGTTTTGTTCAGTTGACATCGAACAAATGTCATGATGCAAAATCCGCCATCATCACCAGTATTCAGTAGCCTGTCATTAGCAATGACAGCAGGACAACTGAAATAGCAGGGAGATCAGATCTTTCTCATTTCTAGCATATATCTAGAAGCAGTCACTATGAAACTCTCATCTATTCCATTACATCCTGAAGAACATAAACCAGACACACTGGGGCAAACCAAAGGCCCAACTTGTCTGTTTTACCTCCAGCAACAGCCAAAAGCAGAAACATAGAAGAGGACAGAGGAACAGGACAAGCATATACTACTTTCCCCCATATATTTCTCAACCAGTGTCTCAACCAGTTGTGGATCAGAAAATTGCACAGTTTGTATTTAGTGAGCAGCAATGTTTTTTCCCTTCCACCAGTTTGCCATGCCTCCCCTCAAACTTTTATTGACTATGACATCCTGCAGCTAGTTCTGTGGCTTGATTACATGTTGCATGTGGAACAAAGCACATCCTTTGGTTTGATCTAAACCTGGCTCCAACTGGCTTTGTTTGCTGACCCTAGTTCTTCTGGAGGATGAAACGGTGAACAGTTTGCAGTCTCCCTCCCTGCCTCTCGCTGTTTTACAGATTCCTACTTCATCTCTTTTACATGCTGAAGAGTCCCAGCTGATCCAGTTCTTTCTCTGAACCCTTTGCAGACCCACCATACCTTCCCTGAGCTAGAGGGGATCAGAACAGCAAAAACACTGACACTAAATGGAGGCTCTGACAACAGCCTTGTGGAAAGTCCCTTCAGTGACACCTGTCTACTAAGCCGAAGAAATTATTAACTAGCACTAGCCCCCGGAGAGGCTCTTTCCTCCAGGCTACCACCCTAACAGCACTTAATTCCCTTAAAACATAAACATGAATATTAACAGTTGGGGTGTATTTCAACAGCCAGCAAAATCAGCTGGGAAATCCATACCATCAGCTTCCCTAGTATGGGACTTGGCATGAACTGCATACACTGCCACCCTGAAAGATGGTCTCGCAGGTAATGAAGAGACCAGCAAATGCTATCCCAGCTCCAGGATGCTGAAGTCAGCCTGTTCCAGTCAGACTGCTTACTGGAAACTTTGCTGTTATTGCCAAGGCCAGGTTTATGGAGGATACTGAAAGCCTATGGCCAAGCTAGAAGGTTTAATGCCAGCTATGAAATTAAGCTGTCACCTTAGAAAGAAGCATATATTTATCATACGTGCAGGGTACTTAAAAGCCTATTCCCTGCTTGAGTTAATGGGGGTTGCA